GCCGGTATAGCAATGGACAATGTGTAAAAAGCGAACTCTTTCGTTAGTATTAGTGCTTGTGTAAATATTCTCTCGTTATTAAATGTGTAGATTCAATTAATTACGCCTTATTTTCTCTAAGTACAACCCCTATTAAACCAAACACATAAAGAACCAGCGCCGTGAAGTCTACTTGTATATATCGAAGGAAACACTCTTGTACAGTCCATGGTCCTAAAATATTTGGTACTGTACACGCACGGGGAAGGAATTTAATAAGCTTTCCCCCCAACAATTGATGGAAATCAGAGAAAATTTTCCAAGAGTTTTCCAATCATTAGGGATCTTTTCATTATTTCAAATCTTGTTCATGAGCATATGCATTTGTCCTACTAGGTGATCGCCACCTAATTTATATAGCTCAGAGAGGACGTTGTCAATATCTGGAGCCTTATTGTTCTTTTGTGCTCGTATTGCCTGTTTTACCTCTTCCATCGTTGGGGGTTCTATATTTTCGGTGTCTCCCTCATTATGATGCATGTCCATATGCTCTTCATTTACTTTTTTTTACTATTTACAAGAGATAGGGATACAAGCGAAAAATCTTTGTATACCTATAAATTAATTGTACAGCAAATGCCAACTATGTGGTGTATTTGCGAAATGTTAGTTATACTTAGGCAAATTTGTGCCAGTCACTGTTTTATTGCCATGATTTGCTTAGCCCATACGGTTGTAGATTGTAAATAGTTTGATCTCGCCCGTAAAATCTTGTGTTTTTTTATTTATAATTTAACCCAAAAGCTCTAGGCGTCTAAAAAGGGTATTATCCGTTTTAAGTTCAGACAATACGTTCATCCGTTTTAATTTCAGAAAATACGTTCATCCGTTTCCTCTGTATCTCCATGTTGCTCTGTACACTTTGAACAGTTCTCAGAGCGTTGTGATAATGACCTGTTAGCTTGAAACCTGTTAGCTTGACCGATAGCCGAAAATACTTTCCTATATGCCGCGTTTTTCTATTTTTCGACTACTTATGCCCTGGCACACATACCAATGTACTTTGTTGTGGCTGCCTTGTAATTGGAAATAAAAGAAAGGAACGAAATGATAAATGGCCACAATGGAAAAAAGTTATTCAAGAGTGATGTGATAGTAATCAGAACTCAATAGGTGTAGGCGATTATCGATAAAAACAATGACCTACATTACATACTTTTTAACATTAACCATCACCAGATAATTATGTGCAAATAAACGCCCATCTTAATGTATTAACAATACAGTGCATAAAATTGGATAAGTATTTGAATAAACGAACAAAACAATATAACTCAACAAATACATTAAACAAATTGTGCTTTACAAAACTTACAAACTTAAACCTTGTAGATTAACAAAAGTTTTTTTTTGAAATAAATATAAGGGTCAGAGCTAAACCGTGCACAACATTATAAATGTTAATGTTATTTTTTAATGTGTAGCTGTGGCAAGTGTATAAAATTTAATAAATTTTCTTAAAATTATCCACCCAAGACTTTTGAATTAAATTATTTTATGCAATGATTCAGTACTCAACTGGCCGCTAATAATTTTATTTATAAATTAATCCCCTGATCATCAATAACAAGCTGGTTGGTTCATACATGGCTATAAACAAAATCAACGTGTTAAAATGAAAACTTTTCGTAGATTGGATATTATATACTGCAGTAAAAGTTTCCATTTTTCAGAGACATAGAAAGGGGATATCAAAATGTTATGTTCTCATTTTTTCATTTAATATTATTAGCACTAGGTTTGTTTTATCGTTTTAAAAAGATTTTTTATCGTTTTTCATAAATTTGACGTGTTCCTGCAACACCAGGACCGAAAAAAGTTTAATATTGTAAATGTTTATCGGTTTAACTCTGATTACAACAAACTGTATTAAAAAATAACGATAAAAAACAAAATTATTATACGAAAATAAATGAAAAATAGGTGAAAATGTAGTAATATGCGTGGCAGAATAGCTGTTCATGATAATATCCGCTGATATTCTGGGATCACAACCACCCAGAATTACCAGCTGATATTTCACGGACAACCACAGTGTATGAAACTGAAAAAACCTGATAAAAATGTTACTGTCCATGCAAAATATTAATGCAAACTCTGAAAATAGGGACGTGACAGTCAAGACTGAACAATTTTGTTTTCAACACTTCCATAAAATTTATTTTAAATTATTATTACAGCTGTTTCGGCCAGAGTAACTTTCTCAAGTGATCTATTTTTGGTATTTGTTTACACTTTATAGTGAATAAGTTGACAAGGGGAGAACTGTTTGTCTCAAGTTGGTCATTCAGAATTATGTCATAGATTCTAATAGCTAGCTAATAATTCTAATAGATAGATTAGGGCCTTTATTTTGGATGTGAAGAATTTGAAATTCCTCATTAAAAAACTGATTATGATCTAGAAGGTGAAGTGCGTATGTAGAAGCTGTTTTCCTATTATCGAAAGCCCTTTTATGTTCAGCTACGTTTGATAAAAGTTCTACCAGTTTGACCATGTAAGTTTTTGGGCAGTCGCCACACTTTTTGTTTATTCTAAAAGCTGATGTTATTCCTTTCTTTTTTATGTGTTTGGCTATTTTTGTTGATATCTTGCCTGTATCTACAATTGAGCAGAATGTACTGGATTTTTTATCTGGTGCTAGAAATACTAATCTCAAGGCTCTCTTATGCAGTTTTTTTTAATTTAAATTAAAATTTTATTTATTGTGTGTTCGTTGCACCCGTTGTTTACTGCTATTTGCTTAATGATATGCAGTTCTATCTCGAAGTTGTTTTCCAACGTCTCCAACGCTGTGTAATGCCAGATTGAAGACGGCATTAGAAGTTATAAACTCGAAGCAAAACTTAAAGGAAATTGTTACAACAAAACCAATAGAACGAAAATTCCAGTTGCATAAGAAAAATGTTACGAAAATAAATGTTGGAACATAAAGGAACTGCACAAAAAGAACGACACGTTTTATATGTTCAAAATGATGAAAATAATAGTTGGAACATACAAGTTAACTGCAAATAGTCTACTTGACAAACAAAAAAATCATTGCTGTCAACAAGCAATACAAACTGGAGAGAGATTTATTAAGGAACTGTTTAAAACTTAAACATTTACTGGCAGAAGGTCTAGTAAGATTCAAGATTTCTAAAAGTAGGCTTTATACCCTATGTTGGTTGGTTAAGTTTTAAAATATGTATCGACTTTGATACGTAAAGGAGCTCACCAAAACGGCTTATTGATATGAAGAACTATGACATAGACCACTTGCACACCGTAAGAACACTAATACAACAATGCAATGAGTATAATGTTCCAATTCATATGGCGTTCGTCGATTTCCATAAAGCATTCGATTCCATCGAATTATGGGCAGTGCTTGAATCTCTAGAAAATGCATGTATAGATTCAATATACACTAACATAATTAATAACATATATGAAAATGTCACCATGCAGATAAAGCTGGACGAAAGCACAAAAACTAATCCCATAAGACTACAACGGAGAGTAAGACAAGGAGATACCATCTCTCCCAAACTATTTACCCTTGCTCTAGAAGACATTTTTAAGAAACTAGAATGGAACAACAAGGGTATCAACGTCGACGGATCATACTTAAACCACTTGAGATTCGCAGATGACATAGTTTTAATAGCCGATAATATCCAAGAACTAAATGATATGTTAAAACAATTAAATGCAGTTTCAGGAGCGGTAGGCTTAAAAATGAACTACAGTAAAACAAAAATACTGAGCCGAGACCAGACAAATATAACAATACAAAATCATATCATAGAAAATGTTGAACATTATGTATATCTAGGTCATGTCATCAAATTAGGAAAACCAAATCAAGATTCTGAAATTAAAAGAAGAATACAATTGGCATGGGGTGCTTTCAGCAAACTAGCATATATCTTAAAAAACACCTCCTTCCTGTAAACTTAAAGAAAAAGGTGTACAACACATGCATACTACCAGTTTGTACCTACGGTTTGAAGACAGTATCCTTACCAAAAAATCTGCTAAAAAATTAGGAAAAACGCAAAGAGCAATGGAACGAATCATGCTTGGAATATCACTGAGAGACAAGATTAGAAATCACCGAGATAAGACGTAGAACGAAGATTAGGGATATTGTGGAAGAAATTACAAAAATGAAATGGCGCTGGGCAGGTCACGTAGCCCGATATAATGACAACAGGTGGACACGGAGAATTCTAGAATGGAGACCAAGGACGACAACAAGAAGCATGGGAAGACCTCAAAAAAGATGGGTAGATGACATAAGAGCAGTGGCAGGCAAACAGTAGATTAGATTGGCGCAAGATAGAGAAAGATGGAAGCAATTGGGAGAGACCTACATTCAGGAGTGGATGAAAAATGGTTGACAAAGGGATAATATTTTTACTTCACGTCACTCTGTGCTCTTACAGGAGAACTCGTGAATGTTTAGAAAAACCTAACCTATCATAACCTCACTTACCCTAATCTAAACACATAGACATATAATACAAATAAAATGACTCCTGTCATACAGTCGCGTTCCACCATTGCGACAGAGAGATGAGCCGGCTTTATCAACCACGTCACTTCTGATTGGTCATTTAACTGGCCATTCGACTGCTTTGCATCAGTTTTCTTTTGGACAGTTTTCTCTGTCGCTCTGAGGGAGCTAGTATAATTGTATTATATGTCTATGTCTAAACTTGTGTGTACCTAACCTAACTTACACTATTGTATATTTCATGATAAATATCACTGAATGACTGATAAAAAATTTCCTAAGAAAAAATTAAATAGTATTGCAAAATATTTTTAAATACAATAAATTTTTAAGTTGACTAACTGATCATAAACATGATTGATGACTTGTCTAATGATTGATTAACTGTATTATTTGTATCATTATACCGTACGTCCCTATTTTCTTATCTAAGACTGACACGCAAACATAAGATTACCTTCATCTTTTAGACCCACGACGGTCTTTTTCGAAGACTCCAGCTGATCGGATAATCTCGAAGCCGCCAACAAGCCTTGATTCCGTTCTTCCAGCTGCGCCTGTAGGTTGGCTATTTCTTTCCGAAGTTCTTCTTGCACTTGTTTTTCGGTGTTGATATGACGGCGAATGCGGTCGGTTTCCCTAATAACATCTTGTTCTTTATCTAAAACGATGATAAAATTTTAATTAAAAACATTAATAGGGTATTTCGTCAGCACAACAAACAACGCTGATTATAATATAGTAAACTAATTTACATTATAAACATTAGAACTATTAGTCATATATTTAAAATGTATGAAACAAATTTAATCTGAGAATGTAGACTTCAAATGGTTAGAGTCAGATTGAAGACACTGTTTTACAATCTATTAGTAAATAAAATGACATAATTTTTATATTTTGCGAAGGCAGATATCGTACGTATTTGACAACTCTAAAAATACACACAATCAAGTGTGAAAAGACAAGGGAGAAGAAGATGATGAACATTAACACCAACAGCCTATAATAGAACTTCTCTGAGAGTCGTACAAGGGTGGATGACAGAAGAAATACTGAGACTTATGGATCAAAGAAGAGAAGTCAGAAATAAAGATAAAAACGAATACAAGAGGATCCACGCAATAATCAGGCAGAAGATAAGACACGCGAAAACACAATTTCATAGTAAAGAATGTAATGAAATTGAACAATATGAAAAGAAACACGATACATTTCATCTGCACAAGAAATTGAAAGAGGTCGCTGGAAACAAATGGAAACAATTATCCCAAAGTTTAGAAGACAGAAACGGACACAGAATATCAGACATCAATGAAAAGTTAAAAGAATGGGAAAACTACATTTCTGAATTATTTGAAGATGAGAGAGTAGAACACGATACACCGATTGCTATATCAGGTCCATCTATAACAGAAAGTGAGGTAAGACGTTCAATACAAACGGCAAAAAATGGAAAAGCACTTGGCCCCGATGAAGTAAGTGCTGAAATACTAAAGTTTTTGGGAGAAAATGGAATTAAAGCTCTGTGTTCTTTAACAGAATTTATGACACTGGGATATTACCAACTGATTGGTTAAAGTCGACATTTGTCACAATACCTAAGAAACATCGTCCCAAAGACATGTGGTGATTATCGGACAATAAGTCTGATGAGTCACGTTTTGAAAATCTTTCTGCGAGTAATACACAGCAGAATTTATACGCTGTTAGAGGACAGAATTAGCAATACTCAATTTGGGTTTAGGAGTGGCTTGGGTACAAGAGAAGCCTTGTTTAGTATACAGGTGCTAGTACAGAGATGCAGAGATATAAATCAAAATGTATATATTTGTGCAATCGATTTTGAAAAAGCTTTTGACAAAGTCCGACATAACAAAATGCTAGAAATATTGGAAACAGCTGGATTGGACGATAAAGATCTACGAATAATTACAAATCTATACTGGATCAAGTGGCAAGAATAAAGGTTGAACAAGAACTGTCGGATGAAATAAATATAAAAAGAGGAGTGAGACAAGGCTGTATATTGTCGCCTTTACTTTTTAACTTATATTCGGAAGAAATATTTAAGGAAACCTTAATGGAGACAACCGAAGGTATTATTGTGAATGGAGTAACCGTCAACAATATTAGATATGCCGACGATACCTTAGTCCTTGCCAATTGCGGAGAAGACCTTCAAAATCTAATGAACAAAATAAAACAGACTTGTGATCAGTATGGATTAAAACTCAACGTTAAGAAAACTAAATATATGATAGTTAGCAAACAAAATTTTATACATGATGACGGTATAAAAGTCGGAGATGCCACACTGGACAGAGTAGAGAAACTCGTGTATCTCGGCAGTAATATCAATGAGAGCTGGGATCCAACCGCAGAAATTAAAAGCCGAATAGAACAAGCCCGAGCTGCCTTTGTAAAAATGAGAAACGTACTTTGCAGTCATGATCTTAGCATTGA